TTAGTCTCATTCAGTCCTCTGGGTAGTGGTTTTATTTATTTATTTATTTTTCTCGATTTTTAAAATATTCTCATTTTTAATTGAAGTGTAGTTGATTTACAGTGTTAGTTTGAGGTGTCTAGCAAAGTGGGTAGTGGTTTTAAAACGTCTGCATATTCTTTGACATTTCTCCCACTAACTCCTGCATACAGACTGTCCTTCATGACTTTCTTCTAATACATAAAATGTGGCAGAAATTATACTTTTCGGCTTTGAGGCTAGTACATAAAGGGCCGCACAGCTCTGCCTGACACTCTCTCGGAGTGCCTCCACACTCTGAGAAAACCAAGCACCTACACGGAGCAGCCACGTGCAGGCGTCTCAGCCACAAGCCGCAGCTGAGGTCTCAGCCGACAGCCAGCGTCAACCACGAGCCCCTGCAGCACAGGAGCTAACGCTGAGCCGAGCGGGCACAAGCTGTCCCTGGTCCCAATGCAGGTTCCCGAGCGAAATAAATGTTGCTGTTATTGTAAAGTCACTAAGTTTGGGGACTTGTTGTGATGTTGCAACACATCTTATTTTCCCATGAGATAGAAAGATCATAACTTAGTGGTGCCAGGGTCTTAGGTCCCGTTTGGGGATTTTTTTCCTAAATATTTCCCATAAAACTCCCATGTCTACTTATCAATAAGTGTTTATCAAATGCCCACGGAGTGTCTGGCAGTGTTCTAGATGTGGAAGATACAGAGATGATGAGACTTTTAAGTGACAAGTCTGGTGTAGTCACTGAATGACTCTGAGTCAGTCAACAAGCTCATGTGTTTCCTTATGACTTGGGGCGTCATTTGTCTGACAACGTATCAGCCTGCTGCCTGGAACAGATTGTGTACTGTTCACAGATGGTATAGAGAAAGCAAAACCACTCAACTCTGATTATATTTCCATCTCTTTCATTGAGAAGGGTGCTCTGGAAAATGTAGAGCTCTTAAGAGGGAACTAAAGAAGTCTTGACTGTCAAGCTGGTTGTGGGGGAAGAATTTGGAAATTCGCCCTGGGAATTCCAACCTTCAGGTCTGGTCAATTTGACTTTTTTGTTGGGGGGACTTGAATTGGGGTGTGGTTAGAATGCTAACTGTATTAGGAAGGATGCAACACTGTAAACACCAAGGCAAGGTGGAGCCAGTGGAGAAATTAACAAAATATGATGAAATGAACATGATAGGGCCAGATGCAGAGTCTTCTTGGCCTGACCATTAACCCACAAGTGTAGAGAGACATGAGTAACATGATTAACTCCCCAGTGGCAGTGAGCTTTGTGGCTGTGTGATATAGGAAGAAAGAGTTCAGTCCAGATTTCCTTTGACTATAAGGAAGACATTCACTCCTGCTTCATTTACTCCTTGCTGACATGCTCACATGAGATCCTCTTCTTAGTCTAGATTGTGTACCTTCTCATTTCATTTAGAAAGTGGCTCCAGTGTCCTCTCCTCAGAGAACTCTCCTTGATCACCCCTGCCATTCTCTAAACTTTTACTTTGCTTCATTTTTCTTCTTAGAATCTGATCAAAGGAATGTTCACGTATTGAGGTAAGGGGAAGTCAGTCTGGCTTACACATGAATTAACTTGAATTTTGTGCTAACTAGAATAGCCTGTTTATGGCCCATCAAACATACATTGTACATCTGCTTTAATTATTAAGGAACAGCGTCATTGACCAGAAGT